ATTGGTGCTATCAGTGCTTGCTTTTTAAAATGTAACATCAGTTAGACATAATTACTTTAAGAATAAAATATCAGACTAGAAAAGTTATAGACACTGAATCTCAGATGTATTTCCTCTGTGCGATTTGGGAGCTAATAATTTTGAATGATGTAAATGTGTTATCTAACAGTTATCCCCATCACGTCACCACTGGTGCCTCCAGAAATGAGGAAATGGGGGAGAAATATAATTAGAACTTCACTTATGAGAGACTGTTAACGTGAGGATTATGTAACTTGGCCATATCAAGAAGAGTGAGCTAAACAGTTGGACTTAGAAATCACTGATGGAAGCTTGAATTAATATTAGAACAATATAATTCTTTAGCCCAGTTCAAGGAGTGTAATTAAGAATAATAAGATTAAATCAAGAAAAATTTTGTAACACTCTAATATTACCAAAAAAATTACATGAAAGTGGTGAATTTATCTTCTCTAGTGATTTTTAGAGCCAATCTACTCTGTAAGATGATGAATTATAACCAGTCTTTGGGTTCTTGTCCATCTTACTTTCCAGGAGTCCAGAGGTTTAACAAAAACTTGCATCAGGATAAAAAAAAAGTAACCCATTCTAAAAAGCAGAGAGAATAATTTAAACAATACCAATACCAAAATAGGTAGAAACCAGAAAAGCTTAGAAAACTGCATCTGGTAAAAGACCCAGAGTTAATAATAACAATACCCTCTAATGAGCCTTTACAACGTGTCGGCCACCGTGTATGTGAATTATCCCTTTTATTTCATCAATCCAAGAAAGTAGGTATTTTTATCCAAAGTCTTATGAACGAGAAAACCAAGGCTCTGGCAGCCCCAGGAACATGCTCAAGGATATGGATTAGCAAGTGGCAGAGGCCCATCCTAGGCCAGGGTTCTGAAATTCAGGGGAAACAGGAGGAGGGGTGGGAGACCCTTTTGCACAAAAGGAGAGGGTTTTCTCCCTTGAATTTCAAAACCTGAATAAGAAACCAGCCCTGGGTATAAGGTCCAGTGAGACACAACAATGCAGTCGGGAGGACATCACAGCCAAGTTAGAGAGGAGGTGGACAGGAAAGAGGGACAAATGCAAAGAGGCCAGGGACTAGGAGCAGCAAGGAATTCGGAGGCTCTTTGGAAAGAAAAGGCTGAAGAGGGCTAAGGAAATTCTGACTGTTGATCCCAATCAATGTTGAAGAGAACTAATTTCAAAAATGCTCTCCCTAGAGAATTTTACCAGTGTCTCACTTTATTGCTAACTTTGCTGGCATGCCTTCATTTGGGTGTTTACTCAGAATGTTTATTTGTTTTAAACTTCATTTTTAGAAGTCTTAATATGCTGGCATTAAGCTAACATCTGGAAATCAACATAGTAATTACATTAATTTTGTATAGGCTGATTCAAAACTATGTTTTGGAGACATAATGATCTTTCTATTCAGGCACCTCAAGATTTGGGAGGGAATGAACAACAAAGAGAAGAGGATGGAAAGTCTTGTGTGTGTAAGGGAGAGTCTTCCATAGTCACAATTTCTCTCCCTCTCCCTCTTTCCTGGTGCTCCTTGAGGGCAGCAGGTTAGGTCTGAGCAAGGTGCTGGTCTTCTATCCCCCCCAGAAGACAGCAGACAGCACCTACCCTGCTGTGCCCTCGTATTAATTTGATGCCACCTTGGGCCAAATAACAGCATGAAGTTAGAATCAGGAATATACTTTTAAACAAATCTTTCTTTATAATTTTAATCATACAACTTTTAAAAATGTATGATTTTCACATTTGAACACCAGGGGATAAATGCAAGAAGCACTTCAAGAGCATCAAGGGTAGGGTTATTATGAAAACCTTGCCGAAATTTGACTTCAAAGTTAAACCTAATTCTCCCTATCAAATTTTCATTGGCCCCGTGATCAAAGACTCTGAAGCAGCAGGTTCCAGTATAAGTTCCTCTACGAACCGGAGTTTTGAACTTGCCCTTGATTATTAATTGATTCCTACAAAAATTAAAAAAAATCGTATCCTGCTGAACAAATTTTAAGTCTAGCCCTCTTCATGGTTGGAGCTAGGTTTTCTTCCAAGTGCATCTGAAATTTTAAAAAATGCCTACTGTTTATAACAAAGAGCTTTAGAGATATGACTTTGTGGAAAGAAATGTACTTCAAAAAAGTAGTTCCACTGACATCGTGTCAAGTTTAGAATTTAGGTAAAATTTAGGTAGCTGTTACCTTCAATAGCTTAATTGTAACCACTTTGAGAAGTTATTCAGGAAATTAAAATGTACCCATTGAAGTAACACCTGAAATCCAAACAACTCATGCTATATGTACAAAGTACAGGGCTTCAAGAATACGACTAAGAAAGTATAGTAAAGCTTCCAAAAGCTTATGGATTTTCCTAGAAAATTCTTAAAAGAAAACTCTTCCTCATATCTACTCTTTCCTTAAAATTCAGTGTAATTCTAGCTGGGATCTAATTTAAGACCAAACAGTTCTTGCTTTTGTATTATTAAAGAAAGAAATGTGGCGGACGTGGTGGCTCACGCCTGTAATCCGAGCACTCCGGGAGGCCGAGGCAGGTGGATTGCTCAAGGTCAGGAGTTCAAGACCAGCCTGAGCAAGAGCGA